AAAAAAGTGGGTCTTTTTTTTTTTTTTTTGTAAAGTTTTTTTTTTTTTTTTGATTTTTGTTTACCAAAACACACATAAACAAACCCAGACCGATGAAAGGAAAATTAAAGTCCTTATTATTCTCCGAGACGTTTTCCTCCTCCAGGCAGACCGGAGAAAGCTTTCGCCCTCCCGACCCAACATCTTTCGGTTTCGTTTTTCGAGCACATCGCGCACGTTCTTTAATAAATTAATGTTGAGTTGATTGAGCTTCAGCGGCAGCGAAGGCCGCCTGTAATTCCGTCTTCTAGTCCAAACGTGCAGAAAATTTCGGTTGCATTGACGTTTTTACCACTAATTTTATCAAACGAGCTAACGAAGCCGCTAGAAACAGCGAAGTTCCGGAGCAGTGCCAGCAGCGCTACATACACTGGGTAAGACGGCCGTCTCCAATTTGCGGGACACACGCGGAACTACAGCAGCGAAACCACGAGGAACTGTGTCGACGTTTTCGACGTGATGGAAATCGCGGGAACTGCGTCCAAGGAAGGCAGGTTTTCCTGCCGGCTGCCTGGGTGCCTTCCGTGCTGAGTTCGGTTCCGTTGCCCCGTGCCGAGTGCCAACCGGCGTTCAACATGATTCTTCTGCGTGTCAGCAACATCGTCAACGTGGTTCTGTATTTCTTCGTGTCAGCGACATCGTGATGGCAGTGTTGTGGGTTGTGAACAGAAGACTGGAATTATCGCCGATGTGACCGTGTGTTCGCGTATCAGTGGTGTAACAACAAGATGAGATGACGTAAACTGTCGGGCATTGATGCCGCTGGTCGGGCCGTTATCGGAGGGGCCGGGGTGTCCCAGGATGACATTCCGCTTTACATTAAAGAGTTTAAAACCACTTGAGGGATTAGGTGCAGTCGATCGACGTGTGGATAGTCATGTTGGAACGCTGGTCTGAACGGTAAGCTCCTATCGTACAGTGACCAATGTGACTGTCGGTCCCCGAGAGCGATTGCGCTCTGGTGAAAAGACAACACTACGAAAGTATGACGGAAAGTACGTATATTTATAATGGAAGTTTAGCATAAAAAAGAAAGACAGGCAAAATCGAAAAAAAAAAAACGCTATCCTTTATTTCACTGTTTAAATATATTACGGTTCCTGTAGAAACTGCCCTCTAAGTGGCGCGCTGGGATGAGCGCTAGACGTTTTCGAGCTCGCAACGGCGCAGCTCCGTACACTTAACAGTTGTCGCAAGTCGCGGCTTTGACTGCATTCAAGTTGATCGAAAAGCGATTTCCGTGCCCGTGAAGCATCACTTCCAGCTGAGTGGATATCCGCTCTACAGAGATTAATTCAAGACGGCAATTGCAGCTTTGCGCGAACAGCACAAATAGAAAAACGAACACTACAATATAAATACTGGCTACGAAGGGCCATGCTGGAAAACAAACTCATGGCTTGGAACCACATTGGAGCGGCTCGATTTATTGGCTTTCAAATAATTATGGCATGATCGAGCTTCTTCTTTTTAATAAGAGATTCATCCCCTGAGCCCTTAAAAATAGCCTCAGATGTATGACATTGCTGGAAAAAAATGAACATGTTCGGAACATTTTTTTTGCTTAGGGAGTCACCGAAAAATTCCGTACGTTCAAAACGACCACTATAAAAGACGGAAACGCAGGGCTTGGTAGTAGTGATCGGGGTATTGTGCTGTTGTATTGATGTTTGTATGTGCGATGCCTGTGTATGCGTTCAATAAATGTCGACCTGATGTTTGTAGTGTGCGCAACTTGTCTACATGTGTCAGAGATTCCGAAGAAAAGGAAACGCAAGTGGCGTAAGAAAATAAAAATATTTTTTTGTAAAACATGAATTGGGCGGTACCTAGCGCCACCTAGCCTAGCTATGTGCGATTACTCTGCTTGACCCTGCCATCTGGTGGCAAGCGATTTAACAACCTTTTACGCTACGCGGCCAACGCGGCTACGCCATAATTTCGTGTTACCGTGCTGAACTAAGCCAAGAGGTTGCTTCGGATTCGCTTTTTTTTTGAGAGCGGCTTTTGGTTTTGCGGGCGAATGATTTTCACTCCTCCGTGATGTGCGGTTGACGCAACGGTTGACGAAGGAATTGTGGCTCGAGGAATAGCAAAGGTAGGACATAAAGTGCGCGAACTGAGTGCCGGTTGTCTCCGTTTAACATCGCAGTGCTGACGATGAGAAGACAGAGTGACTGCATGCTTTCGAAACGTAAGTTTCTTTACCTGCAGGGGTAAAGAAACTTCGGAAATAAATACAGTTCGCGGAAAGCTCGTGTTACGTTTTTATTTCCTGCTCCTCTCGCTTCGTGCAATAGACTTAGTGTTCTCGTTAAGCCTTACCGAGCTCGATTTGCTCGATTCGTGGCCGCCATAATGAGATGCAGTCGACGGAGGAACTTTTCCTCCCCTGCTTAAGGGACGAAAGTTTCTCCCTTTCTGAAGGAACATATGTGTCAAGAGCGTTCCTCCCTTTAGGGAGGACTATACTGACCCTTTTTTCTAAGAGTGTGTACCAGTTTTAAGGGGGTCATATTAACGAGACATCATTGCAACACTATGGGACGTGGCTTCGTCACCAAGGGATTTCTGAATCAAGAACCTGCAAAGCACCAAAGTTAAGCCAGAATTCGTCACCAGAGTAACAGTGGGAGCGCACATTTGCAAAAACCACGAAAAGCTGGATGTATACTCGGATGAGTCTTTTAACGAGACAAATGTCCATGCTGCTTCAATGAGGTACACTTGCACATCTCAAAGATAGCTCTGGAACGAAGCGGAAGCACAATTTGGAGCGTCCTCCAGATGGCTCCACCAGAACAAACTGTAGTAAACGTACCGAGAGGCGTTCTGTGATGACACAATTGTTATTTACATATTTTACAGGCAGATATTTACAAATGAGCCAGTCCGAGATAACGTCTGAGGTAGATGAGAGTAATGTCACTGGTTGAGACGAGCCTGGGTTGCAGCTATACTTCGTCTCAGCTTAGCATGGACTATTGTTTGCCGCGCATGCTAGAAGCGCGAGTTAGTTGCTTTTGATGAAACCTTGGCGGGTGCACGAGCGCTCGTGCAGCGAGTGCTCCAGTCAAGGCAGTCAATGTTAGCCGCTCGCGCTTGCACGGCTTTTGCAGTTAGTCCACGCGAAGGTGAGACGAAGTATAGGGAGTATTCACTGGCGGCCATAGCTGTGTGCGCAAACGCTGAGCGCGTGCTGACGGCGAGCTTCCACAGTTCTTTTGCAACGTGCATTCCGCACAATCAACATTGCGGGTCTTAGCAACCTATTAATGTGAGCTCGTTCTGAGCATGCGCTCTAAACAGCACCCACAAATATGGCGTCCAGTGAATACTTCCTATAGCTCGTGGTGGGTGGATTCTGCCTCGTTCGCAGTGCGTGCGTTGGTGCACGTTGCTCTCCCGTGTAGATAGTGTCGCCCGCTTGTTCACTACAAAATGCATACCTGGAGAGCCTCAAGTAAGAGTGTGTTCAATTCAAACCATGGAGAGCGTTTGCAATTTAATAGCGGCGTTAGAGATGGCGGATAATACCCTTTTTCGCGTTTCAAGCAATACTTATTCTATCAGAACAAAAATGGTGTCTAAAGAAAAGTGCTATTTTATTCTTCGCCAAAATATCCAAGCGTCTGACCGTCCATAACCGGAGTTACGTTGAAAGACCACCCGTAGCCACCAACCGCAAAATTTTGCTATTTAATGGTGCCACCTCGGGCGAGCGGTTGAACACATGCACTCTTACTGGCTCTCTACCCAATGAGCCCTACGGTGACCATCGAGAGACATTGAAACTGAAGAAAGTGTACAATCGAGCTGGTTCAATACCAACACGGTAACCCAGGAGCGGGAGAAAAGCGGGACGGACAGCACAAAGCTTAGAGCTTTCTGTTTTTCATTTTTCGTTCGCTCGTGGGTTACCATGTCGTAGAGAAATGAATTATAAACCAAACGAGTATAATTTGGTTGCGATGGTAACGAGAAAAGTAACACTTCTCTTTTGTAGCAACGAGTAACGGAACTTACTTTTTTTTTAGTGGCGTTTATATATCTGGGCATGCGTAGATGTTTCTACGGAAACATAGAGGCGCTTTGACTTGAAAATTAAACAGCCACTACCAGTTGAGATCGACTGTACACCAGCGACCTTGTGTCACATGTTCATACATGTTCAGGAGTTGAGACGGGGGTACAGTGAAAGCAAACATTTTATTGTTCTTTATATACTGTTTTGCACTTACCACAAGTTTATTCAAGGGGGGTCGGTGGCCGAGTAGGCTAGAGCACACCAGCTCGGAGCACGTGGAGCGAACGCCCGCGCTGCAGATCCCAGGGATCCTGGGTTCCATCCCCACCCCTGCCCGTTTCGATCTGGATGAGCGTCGTATACTGACCGGCGTGAGGTCGTGTATCACTACTGCGTGGTGCACGTTAAAGGCCCAGGTTAAGCGGTTGTACCGCACTGGCTAAATTACTAACCTACAGCTGAGACACCTGCAGATTTCTAATGGGGCTGACTAACTTTCGACTGTATAAACCGTATAAATAAGTACACAACACAATGATTAATTTCATTCATGTAACAGAGTGCGGAGTGCTGAACGGGTTCAGCGAAAGGCTCGTAGCAGGTTCTAGAAGATAGTAAGCTATTTTGTTTGCGTGCGGCGCTTGTATACGGAAAAATCGGAAGTTTTTTACAGCCGAGCTGTTAAGGGCTATAGTTTCCCCAGGATTGTGTCCGTCAGCAAACAAATGACGACATAACACTTCAGACAGCTACCGCCATCAATAAATGATGACGGCAACTAGACAACCGGCTTGCCGGTTGTCTGGTTGCCGCCCTCGCTTATATATGGCGGCAACCCTTCCAGTCTTTCCACTGTGGCCTGCCGACTTGCGGCCGGCCATTACTTCATTCCCAACATAGTACATCTTTGCTGGTCTTCCTTCTTCACCAGGGTGGAAAGACAAAGTTTTTATTGTTTCATAAGCAAGCAAGATGAAAATGCGGAGCGCGAATGTGCAGTAGCGACGTCTTCTTTTCGAAGATCGTAGCGGAGGTAGAAAAACTGACTCCCTATTGTTGATTTGGCTTTTCTGACTGCACAACGTCGCTTCAGGGCCGCTTTATTCTCCCCTTCATGTCTCTCGTCATCGTTGGACACGTACAAACACAATAACCGCTTAATCGTTTTTTGACTAGCCAATTTAAGGCCAGTCAAATTGCGTTCAGTGGCCAGTTGGTCTAGCTATGCTAGCCAAAAGGGATAAAAAACCGCATGGGGTGCCTCCCAGAACTCTGCCGATTGTCACATGCATTGCGACAATAGAAAGCGTGACAGTTCCTACTAACCTCTTTTTAACAGCTTATAGGTGCGTTGCAAAAATTCTGTATTTTCAGTTACCATTAAGAATTATTCTTCAACGTTCCCAGCCTATAAAACGCGCGTTAAAGGGGTACTCTGCCGTTTTCTTCACAGTCCCCGATTTGCCTAAAAACTTGGGTATCACAGCAGACAACTAAAATGAGACCGTCTTCGGTGATATAATGCAACCGCTTGAAAACATCGAGTTGCCCAAGTCAGAAAGTTCAAAAGCCCGTGTTGAGAGTTTTAGTACCCGTCAATGCGTCGTCGTCGTTACGTCGCATGGCGTTGTGACCACAAGACAGGTCGTGGTGGCGTTATGTTTTGACGTGACGCCTGGCGTCTAGGTTGTATAAAAATATTGCCCGGTGTTGTATTGTTTTTATGACCTTGAACAGTGTGCCGGCGGCTTGGCGTTTGAACGCAAAACGTTTTTCATAAAAAAAAAAAAAACACTAATGCAAGCCGTTTCTTTTTTACACTTACGGAGGTGCAGAAATAGCACTCCGGTGACCCCACTCGCACTTTATCGTACACTCTATCGAGGCATTGATTGTTACGAGGTGCTCGCGTCCACTCTATGAGCCGCATTTAAATGTCGTCACCGCGAGAAGCAGAAAGCTCGATGACGAAATCCCGAGGATCGCATTGTTGAAAACGGCAAAAATGATAATTCCCACAACTTCGTCATCAAGTTTTGCGAAGGAGAGGCTGAAAGAGAAAGTCAGCTTTTACCAGAGTTAAGCCTGACTCACATGGTTCGATTTTGCTTGCGATTTCGCAGCTGTGACGTTGGGAACCACACCATATCCGATGCGTGTTTTCTGCCGCACGAGCCTCGTCGCAACTGCGAAATCGCAAGGAAAAGCGCGCAACCTGAGTCGGGCTTTACGCGGCGAAAAATGTGCTTTTTGGTCAGTGGCGTTGCGTGCGAGTATAGTTGGGACTCCCCACTGCCACTAGGATTGAGTAAAGGGAGAAACATTTTTACACAATATCGTTGCTCGGTCCCTTTAACATACCCGGGGCTGTCCGCATGGCCTTTGTGCCAACTTGGTCTGAACGCCGCCAGCTCACGTTACCGCGCTATAATACTTTCAAACGGTTAGCTCATTCAAGTCTGTTTTCAACTGCTATCGTCACCCTTAAGCATGAGTTCCGCCCATATGCCTTTCTGTAACTCATTTACCTTCGGGAAGTGGGCAGTGCAAATTGTGCAACTAGCCCAAGCGAGCGTGACATGTGGGGCATGGGTCTCGAAGAACAAGCGGAGGCCGTAACGGTCCGTCGCCAGGTAGCGCAAAGATGGCAGACTCGCGAGAAAGCCCTTCAAGTCATCAACGCCGACATCGGAGCTTGAAAGGGTTTGGTTCGTCTTCAACACGAGTCGTTCCAACTTCTCCAGACGTAGCTCTGGTACAAGTTTTACAATTACAGTCATTTTTGGATCATTGATCTGCAAAGTAACCAAGTTTTTGCACCCCGATAAAAGTGCGCGCAAACCTACCTCCGTGATGATCATGTTTCCAAGGAGAAGGTAGGTCAAATCGGGAAAACTTGCAGGGAGAGGAACACATTCCTTAATCGTGCAGTGTTTGACACTGAGGCTTGAAAGATTCCCGCAGAAGATAGCTAGGCTAGAGAGTGGAACATCCTCAAAGTTCTCCAGCGAAAGTTCTTCGAGCTGGAATTTCCGGAGCAGCTCCGAGGCATACTGGTGAAAATAGCACGGCTGGAATGAAGCCGTTATGGAAAGGCGGCGAACGTCTTTGAAATGGGCGATCAACAACAAAGATTCTGGGTCTCCTGAAGTCACTTCGAGCTGATACACGCTCGGGAAAAGTTGCTGCGCGCAAACGACAGCTTCCGGTTCCGCATTAATGACGAAGTGTTTTCCGTCCAATGTCTTCATGTGGGATCCCAGGATAACGTGCCTTTTGCTCACGGCGGGCGTTTCCCGTATAATGTGAGCGACCTCTGGAGGCGGCGTGAAGAGTAGCGCGTCCATGGGTGCTTGAATCCAGCTGAGCTGTAACGAGGAAGTGTGCAAAAATGGTCGGGTTCCCATCGAACTTCTTTGTTATAGTTGATTTCCGCCCTAAAGCTGGTTCACACCGACTGATCTCTTAGGACGAGAGTCCACACTGGCGCCATATATCGGGTAGCCATCGAACACATAGCATTTCCGTGTATACATTTTAATTGGCGCATCCATTTCTTTTTGGCTTGACAAACTTTTGCCAAAGTTATAAACGAACATTTTTTTTATTCCTAGTAGATACATCCTATCTCGCGAATACTGCAAAACCTTCGCTCTAGTGGCATGCTGTTCCATGGTCCTCTCGTAGATAGCGCAAGCGTGTTCTCTCGTGGTAAGAGATCACAAGAACTTGGTCGTAAGCAAACGCAAGTGTGTCAACGAGCCATTAAACATGCTTTACGTTACATACCTGAATTTTTGCCATCGTAAATAAACAATGCACTCGAGAAAGCTGAAGCTCCGTGAGGATGTGACACTAGCCAGGGTGAAAGAATGATAGAGTTTAAGAACATGACGTTACCTGGGTTTAAGATACAAGCAAAAGCGAAATTTCACTATGAGCCGACGTCTACCTAAGCATAGCATTTCTTAATTTAATTACTTCAATTAAGACGTTTGTCATCAAGAATGGAAACAAAATCGTCTTTCTTGCGGACAAGTACTTTGTCTGAAATAAATGCGCCCCCAATATTATTTCTTGGTTTGGTGAATATTAGGCGCATGTGGACGTGATGCCAAAGGATTAATTTCTTACGCCAGGACAGTGGTGAACAGCCTGCGCCGTAGGTATGAAGTCGATCAGAAGATGATCGATTCCTATGGCAGGCATAGTTCCGACCAGCTTCGTCAGCTTCGAAGACTTCCCTTTGGATGGGCTCCAAGACGAGTCGTTGGCGGTCTGAACCCTGAGGTTGTGAGGCAGCACGAGTGAGGTCATGTGCTCAGACTTGGAGTAGAGGTCACAGATGAGGTTCCTATTGTGAAGTACCACTAGGGTGCGTACGTTCCTTAGGATCAGCTCGGCCGCTTTCTCAAATCTTTTGGAAGAGTCGAATGCTGAACAACCAGCGAAGAGAGCTGAAGAGATGTGCTGCTTGCCGAGGAACGTCTCGCAACCGATGAAATGCTTTTGGTTCATGCTGACAAGATAACCGGTGGAGTCTACGGTAAGGTTGTCTGGGCGGGGTTGGGAGCACGGCTTGTCCAACTTGAGAATGATGAGATCTTCCTCAGTTAGGAGCTTGTCAGGGCATCCGAATTCTTTGACCTCCTCCATAATGACCAAGGATGCTACAAAAAACAAAACAGAGTAAACATAAATAATTGCCAACCTTAATCGATTTGTAGGCATCGGTCGTTCATAACATTTCTACTGTGTGTCTAAAATGTATCTAGTGAAACGAGCTGCAAACATCGGCGCCTGCACACAGAAAGTTCAAACTTCCAACGAATGTTCGTTTATGCTCCGTCTCACTAAAACAGTGCAGTAGAGCTAAAGCTACGGGGGAGGAAGCGTATGCGAGCCTGTTTAAAATGAGGGAAAGGAGGAACGGGAAAGAAAGGTTGGGATTTTTCCGTTCCTCCTTTCCCTCCTCTTGAACAGGTCGGGATACACTCTCTTCCCTGTAATTTTGTCTGTACTGCACAGTTTTAGTGAGTACTGAAAGAGGGCTAGAGAGAAGAGGGCAACAGGCTACCGGCGTTTTCCCCCTCGCTGGTGCGTAAGAAAGAGTGAAAGTCCCGGATGAGAGGCTTCGCCGGTGTTAGGTGTATGCATTGCCCAAACTTCGTTCGCGCTTTCTTCTCTGTTTTAAGCTCCCAAACTTAATTAGAGCCACGGGGTTAGGTGGCGACAGTCCCCCGGTCATCGGGACACCATTGCTCGGTTATAGGGTGCACGAATAACGACAGAAAGCGTCGGACACTGTCCGAGGACCTATGTAGCTTGCACGAAATCCGAAAAGTACGGCTCTCTTTCCACATTACACCCATCTCCGGCGGCAGTGAGTTGCGTCCGTAAACCGAAAGTACGTTTCCCCAATGCCAATAGAGTGCTTTAGTAGATCGTGTTTTCAGGCCACGCTATTTGTAGCGGGAGCTCGCTTTGCCGCTTCGATGCATGCTCCGAAGCGCGCGCCCGTAGCCGTAGCGGGAGTTGGAAAACGATATACTAAAACTCCCTATTGTCTCGACTGTGCTGGTACATATCGTGAATGAAGCGCGCACCGCTCTTAGCGCTGTACCGTCGATGAACATGGGGTACGCTCGCAAGGTGCGTGCGAGTTTTCTCGTGATAATTGCTGTTTCAGCTTGTAAAAGTTTGTAACTGAATTTATCTTAATATTGCTATTTTGCGGTGGTGACATTGACTCGGTTTTATTATCTACAACACTTAGTTGAAGGCTCATTTCCGCCGCCGGGTGTGGCTGGAAATTGTCGAAACGTTTTTTCCATCGGACATCTCAAATCGCGATCTCCTGCGCGATACCAGAGAGCCGTGAACCTATGTTGACCGTCGCAACGCGACTAGATTCTTCTTATTTTCAATATTAGTACATAATGGTAGCTGCAAAGAAACCTTCAATTTCTGCTGATGAAAGTTGAAATATGCTGGTCGGGAAAACCGTCAAGTTATACAAACCACCTGCGGACTACGTTTAGCGCGTCATCAAGTTCAAACGGCCATCTGATCGTTCGCACTGTCGTCTGCTCTTTCAAACGTTTCTGCTTGTCGTCTGCTCTTTGAGACGACACCGGCACGTAGACTAAACGTTGCCCCGGTAATTGCGATAAGAAATAAGTGCAGTCCTCAAAATACTTTTAAGTTTGAAAGTTGTTTGGGGTAAGCAGGCTCGGTTTAAACAGTAGATACAAGGAGATGTTGATCATTGTTACCAGTGGTCATCATCGACTTGTTATTCCTGAGTCATTTGGTCCGATTCCACTTGCGATTTTCATTATCGACGTAGACCATCTCAGCTGCTTTTGCAGCCCGTGCGACGTCGCTACTGAAAATTGCGAGCTGAATTTCATCATGCGGCTCAGGCTTTAGCGTCCATTCTGCGGCGTCCACGCGGAATAAATCACCGCATGTCACAACATTCACGCGAATATTTGCGGTGTAATGAGCCTCGGCAATTTCGCTGAGGCCGCTCAAGTAGTCGGAAATTGCCATCAACAATTCCAACGCAAAAAATGAAAGCCGCTTACAACTCCCTGTAACGCCGAATTAGAGCGCAGCTCTCGAGGAGGAGGAGGGAAGGGCACTGGGGGGGGGGGGGGGGGTTAAACTAACCAGGGGGGGTCACGTTACCTTGGGGGTCACGTGACCCCCAATGCCGATGATGTCATCACTGACGTCACTGATGACGTCATCAGTGACGATGACGATGCGGGTACCGATGACGTCATTAGTGACGTCACTGATGACTTCACCAGTGATGATGACGATGACGATGCGAATGTCGGTGACGTCATCAGTGACGTCGCTGATGACGTCATCAGTGATGATGACGATGACAATGCGGATGCCGGTGACGACATCAGTGACGTCACTGATGACGTCATCAGTGATGATGACGATGACGATGTGGATGCCGCTGACGTCATCAGTGATGATGACGATGACGATGTGGATGCCGGTGACGTCATCAGTGATGATGACGATGACGATGTGGATGCCGGTGACGTCATCAGTGATGATGACGATGACGATGCGGATGCCGGTGACGTCATCAGTGATGATGACGATGACGATGTGGATGCCGGTGACGTCATCAGTGATGATGACGATGACGATGTGGATGCCGGTGACGTCATCAGTGATGATGACGATGACGATGCGGATGCCGGTGACGTCATCAGTGATGACGATGACGATGTGGATGCCGGTGACGTCATCAGTGATAATGACGATGACGATGTGGATGCCGGTGACGTCATCAGTGATGATGACGATGACGATGTGGATGCCGGTGACGTCATCAGTGACGATGACGTCATCGGGGGTCACGCGACATCGGCGGGGGTCACGTGACCTCGAGGAGGGGGCCACGTGACCTCAGGGGAGTCACGTGACTTCGGGGGGTCACGTGACCCCCCCACGAGGTCACGTGACCTTGGTGGGGGGCTCGCGCGGTGCATTATGGGACATTTCCCATGATGCACCGCGCGGTTACGCCGACGCCGACGTCGACGGCGACGGCGACGGCGACGGCGACGCCGCTCAAGCCGGAAACGGGCCCCTAAGAGCTGCGCTCTAAAATATTTACACAACTATTTACACCACTTCAACAAATATTAAGGTTCGAGTGTCTCCTAAAAGTCCCTCGCTCACGACTTTTCAGTCCTTGCGGCGTAGCACCCGTGGTAGCCGATGATCAGGGGTCTACAACGTCAGGGCCGAGGTCTGGACGTAGTGACGAGGCAGTTGACCGATGGCCGAAGGCTTGAATCAGGCCCCGTACGCCGGTGGCAGCCTATGACCAGGTGACCGCCAAGGTCTGGGCCGAAGGACGTAGCGACGAGGCAGTTGGGCGTTGGCCGAAGGCTTGAGTCAGGCCCAGAACGTCCGTGGCACGGAGTGGCAGCGGGTGTTCAACTGCGCCACGCATGCAGTCTTGTCTACCTCCGGAAGGTTGGCGCCCGGGCTGCGTGAGAAGTGGGTTGTGGGTCGGGCCTCTTGACGTCTGGTCACGCCGACGGAGGTCCGGCCTGGTGGCGTCTGCTCCGTCCTTTGTCAACCGCCCGACTCCCCTCTCGCGCTCTTCGCATGCCCCCACCTCGTCTTCTTCTTCCTCGTCTTCTTCGGCTGGTCGCGGGATCGCTCATCACAGTCTGCAACTGCATCTGTCCGAGTTTAACGTTATATGGTCGACGGGAAACGTACCTGGTGAGTGGCGGTCAGCCTGGGTTGTGCCCATCCTCAAACACAGAAAGCCGAGAACCGAACCTTCATCTTATAGACCCGTATCACTTACTTCATGTGTGGCAAAGCTAATGGAACGCATGATACACGTTCGACTTTCTTGGTGGCTTGAAGCTAAACTACTACTGCCCGATGTTATGGCAGGCTTCAGAACTCGGCTTTCAACGGCAGACAATTTCTTAGACCTGCTCAGCGCAGTTGAACACAATTGGAATGAAAAATGATCAACGTTGGAGGTTTTCTTCGATATCGAAAAGGTTTTCGACAGTGTGACACCATCAGTTGTGCTAAGAAAACTCCCATCCTGAGGCATTACTGGGGTTGTGCAACGCTTTCTTAAATGCTTTCTAACAGAGCGAACTTTCCGAGTAAAACTCGATAAAACGCTCAGTGCCAATCGTTCTTCCCAAAGCGGTTTACCGCAGGGTTGCGTGCTTTCACCTCTTCTGTTTAATGTTGTCCTCTCCAGTCTCCCAAGCGCGGTTCCTTTTACCACACCAAGGGTCCACATGTCGGTGTATGCGGATGATATATGTATTTGGACGACAGGTCACAAGCACTGAAACCTGAAAGCAATTGTCCAGTCGGCAATAACTTCTGTTGAGACATACCTTAAAGACTGTGGCCTGCGCATTTCCGCAGAAAACGATCCACCAAACATGACCTGTGCCTTGGCGGTTCTCCCCTACGTCAAGTCGAAAACCATAGATTTCTAGGAATCAGCTTAAATCAAAGGCTGAAATGGATAAACCAAGCGAAGGCGATGACAAGCTCAACAATCTCGGCTTGAAATGCCGTCCGCCGAGTTGGTGGCGCAAACTGGGGCAATTCCCCTCGCTCAATGCTCTCGCTTCACTCAGCATTAGTAGTGAGCCGGCTTATATATGCCTTGCCTTATATGAACATCCTACCCACGCCAGCTCTCAAACTGGAACGCATTCATCGACAAGGACTTCGCACAGCCCTTGGCGTTCCGAGAGGAACAAGCAACCTCAAAGTTTACGAAGAAGCCTGAACACTGCCACTGCCTCTAATGGCTTCCCAGCACCTCCTACTACAGATGCTCCGCCTTGAAAAAAAATGAAAGCCGCTTACAACTCCCTGTAACGCCGAATTAGAGCGCAGCTCTTGAGGAGGAGGAGGGAAGGGCACTGGGGGGGGGGGTGTTAAACTAACCAGGGGGGTCACGTTACCTTGGGGGTCACGTGACCCCCAATGCCGATGATGTCATCACTGACGTCACTGATGACGTCATCAGTGACGATGACGATGCGGGTACCGATGACGTCATTAGTGACGTCACTGATGACTTCACCAGTGATGATGACGATGACGATGCGAATGTCGGTGACGTCATCAGTGA